GTGGCTGGCAGATGGGAATAGCGTTGGGAAAACTGACCGTGCTTGGGAAATTGTTTTTGGAATATCTCCTCTGATAATTCACTATTGTTGAAAAGTAGCTTTATAGTGGCAAACTTTAGAGAGCTATTTGTATGCAGCTGGGACTGAATTTACAGACTACCTTTCTCTGACTTGCTAAAAAGCTAAGGATTGACAACCCCTTTCATCCTGCATTATCCAGTGTAGCTTTTAACTCCAAGAAAACTATGTTCACAAATTGATGCTCTGCTCCTTTGGGGTTGGTGCAGAAACATTAAATTGTACTAAAATATTCATATGTGAGTGCATTTAGCTGAAAGCAATTGATGTGCTTTTCCCTAGAGAGAGAAAAAAAATTGCTGTATGGCCCTGCACTCCAGCAGACACCCTAACCACGCTTAAGAGTAATTACATAGCTTGGCTGATCAAAGATTCTTAAAGTGGAAAAAGAAACTGTAGTTGGGATATACTTTAGTAATGTGTGCTTCCTGAATGGAACATACTCAACTGCATCAAAGTAGTACATACTGGATAATTGTGTGCTATGCAGTGTAATATATACCATCTAGTATCAAGCCAGAAAAATTTTTATTGGATTAATAGCTTGTAATTGGAAGGAATCTCTTATATCAAGCAATTTTCATTACAAAGATTTCTTTCTAATTTCATTGTCCTTTCACTCTTGTAAAGAAAATAAAATATTTGAGCTGCCTTTAAAAAGAGTGTATGTGCCAAAGGGGTTTATTAAACTAGCCTGTTTAAAAGCATGCCACTGGTAGGATGATAAATTGATGTACGCTAAAGGTTTTCAGCGTAATTCAAAAATTGGCATAAAAATCAATAGTCGCTGACGGCACGCTTGCAGAGTGACTGCCTCATCTTGTGTTGCACCTGTGGATGCAGAGTAGTCTCAGCAACATTCACAGTCACTGTAAGTTGCAACTAAAAACTGTTCTTGTGGATCTCTTAAGCAAATGTACTTTAATTGCTCCAAGGCAGCCTAAGGCATTTTTAAACATTCTCATAAGTAAAATGAAGTATTACTATATACCACAAATTATTCTATAAATAATAGGAAGAGTCAGTATGCGCAGGAAAATACCTGCATTGGTATATTGGTAATTATAATCATCCACATATAGCACTCCTGTGACATTTATCCAAACAGTGTGTAACTGGCTATATGGATCCTGGAGCCAGTTGTGCAAATTCGTGCATGTGAAGTCTCATGGACTTGCTGTGGATGCTGACATGTAAGTTGGGTAGAATTAAAGCAGAAACAGGAGTTTAAGGGATCGCTAAGGGGGATTTTTTCATTTTAATGTGATTAGCACACAATGACTCTCTCTGCAAGACATACCATGGTCAAGTTTGTCAAAATAACAAAAAAAGGCTAGATGAATACTTTAACTAGAAAATGAGAAGTTGGATTCTTGATTTGGAATTTTGCCTTTGAATAGGATAAATTTGGGACTTGGAGTTTTGTTTCTTTTTAGGGTTGTGGCAATGCAAATCTGTGCTTACAAACTTTGAGAGTCGGGGTCCTGGCTCTCACTGGAGTCTTGTGGGATATTGTATGGCAGGACAAATTAAAACTCTTGGCCTCTGTGCCACTTCACTGGCAGAATTGGGTCTGGCTGCTGCTGTAGCCCTTGAGAAGCCTAGTGGGTATGTTACTGATGTGCTGATGCCCCCACCTTCATGTGTTCCCATTACTGACATACCCAGGTATGTCAATATACCCAGTGCTTCCTGATGGTGCCTCCCTGCCCTCTGCTTCATACGCTTCTAGGCTCCATCCGTCGGTCCATCCAATGTCCTGTGCTGCCTGTTCCCTTCGTTGTGCTCTTTGTCACCCTTAGCTCTTGTTGGGGGTCCCTTACCCCTCTGCTGGTGTCCGCTGTCCACTTCATATGAAATAAAGATTTGTGGCACGGCTCTGGCATTTGTACCGAAATTATTTCCTGTGTGAAATTAAGTTACTTTTGTCTAATTCTCTAATCTGATGCCATGCCCTTACACTACCAAAACTTTCACTTTCTTTGACTTTAGTTGCTTTTGGGATTTTGTTTGTATCAAAGTGTGGGTAATTGTAGGCTGTGGATCAGCCACCCAAGAGCAGTAATTAGAGCAGCTTCCAGGGATCCAAAAGGCAGGAACTTGGAAGGTGGTGTTAAGCCATCTTTGTTGGCACCTGAGAGGTGACATCCAGACTGATTCATGCTGTTTTGTGTCTTGGCATCTACTGTGTAGATGAGCTCTGAGCAACTGAGATGGTCTTCCAGACCTTAATGTGGTCTCTGCTGCGATGGCAGGAACGTTGTGTAATGCTGTTGGAAGGGCCGCTGCTCTGTGGTACCGATCTGCTTTGTTTTCCTCCCTCACTAACTTGACAGTGCTTGGGGCTACAGTCCTGACTTGGGACTTTGAACACTAACACAGTAGAAATGATAGGACTCAGCAAAAGGACTGATAGAAGTTAATGATTCCAGGGAAAAAGTCAGGGTGTTACCCTGAAAATAACTTAGAGGTCTGAATTTCTGAGTCTTATATGACCTTTACGGAATACTAGTTGAATTCTCTCCTTAGAGAGCACTGAACAATCCTGAATCTTTATTACTCGGACCTTGTGGCTCCATTGTTTCCCTCCTACAAAGTTGTAGAATAGATTTAAACTAAGATTTAAGCAATCAAATTTATTTTACAGTATGGAACTATTGATAATAAACATGCTGTCCTGTGTGTTCTTTGTATGAAAACATTACTGAGGTGATCTCCTGTGTGTGTTACAGCCTGCTGCATGGACCAGTTACCTTGGAAGCACGTAGCCTAGAAGGGCATGTGGCTTAGAGGCATAAGAAAGGCTTTTTAGACAAGCCTGGTGATTTACAAATGTCCTTTTAATGAAACATCCTTGTCTTGGCTAGATATTTTAATAGAATATATACATTGGCATCTGGCTCCTGGTTAGCTGGATTCTTTCCAAAGACTGAACTTCACAATGTTAAACAGACTGAGAAGAGTATCTGGTAGTCTAGATGACTGGCACTTAATGAATTGCTTTAAAAAAAAAATCAAATTACAGTAATGTGTTTTTAAAAAGAGCTTGTATTAAAGACTATATGATGTTAGAATAATTTCTCCTGTAACATCTGTTCTTTTATTTGGTATAATTAAAATATTGCCTTCTTACCATGAGTTCTTATATGGGCATATTATATTACATTGCAGCTGTGGTTAAAATGGATTGACCTCCAATAGTAATTTACTCGGTAAAAAGCTATTGAGGCTAAGAACTTTCTGAGTGTCTTCAACAGCTGTGTGTTTCTGTGGAAATACATAGACTAGATTCTGTGTTTCGATTTCAAAGCAGGCTTTTTAAATGGGAAATACTTTGTTCCTGCTCTGTTGTCCTTCCCCTTCAGTTTTTACAGGAGATAGCTTTTGTGGAAAAGTGTAGAGAAGCTTCATAAATTTTATTTATCTATTCCTCTTTAAAAACCAGTGTAATAGGTGAAATCTATAGCTGCCGAGACATCAGAAAGCAATAATCTTTTTTTCTTTAATTGATATAATGAGTATCAGGCCTATATGGAGAAAGCAGTCTGCATGGTCTCTGTTTGAACACCTCGGTTTGCCAGCCTGTTGTGCAGGTCTGTGCCTGTTCCACAGCTGTGCTTTGTTCGTATGGAGAAAGCAGTCTGCATGGTCTCTGAACACCTCGGTTTGCCAGCCTGTTGTGCAGGTCTGTGCCTGTTCCACAGCTGTGCTTTGTTCCTCACGTTAAAAGCCACTTAACTGTAATGCACATCTTCAGTTGCACAGGGATACGATTTTTTGACCCTCTTATCCTCCCTGGCCCCAGAAATAATTTCTTAAATTAGATTTGTATGTTCTTAAATATGGACTAACCTTGGTATATTGAAAAAAGAAATTCTGTTAGTATTTGAGGGTTATGTATAAATACCACCTTTATTTGGCTTTGACAGACGATCTCCCAACTAGTTTTGTGTGTAACAGTTTCCTCTTACTGAATGAGCTGGTGAAAAGTGCTTTCTTTGTTTTTCTTCTGTAAAATTAGTAGGTAAACAGTGCAGGTTTGACTGCTACTTGGACTTGTGGTGGTGGGAAAACTGTCACAGAGCTGAAAATATACTTGGTTTTGGATAGATTATAGCCTGGATGACTTTCTCCCCGAGGGAAAAAAATACTTTTCTGCTGTGAATTAAAGTTGTCCATATAGATCTGTTTGCCTGTGTGTTTTCATCTCTTTTCAACGTAAGTCGAAGAGACTTTGGGGATGCTTGATTGGGAGCCCCAAAGCGTAAAGATCTACAGCGTGTTGGTGCCTACCTGGGATCATTTCTTTATTCATCCCGTGTAGGAGCTCATAGTGAGTGGGGGAAGAAAAGCCTTAGGGCACATGGACATTGAGGGTTGGGGTAAATAATAGAAACTATCGCTCCAAGTGCACTAGCCTATGTCACTGTCTGAGATGTTTTACTCTGCCATATAACAAATTTTTAAAGGTTTAAACACCTGAATTTCAGCTTTGTGCATTCTGTCTTATGTAAAGGATTCTAGAGGCTTCAAACAGGAAGGCCTAGGTTTTCTCAACTGCATTATTCATTTGTAGGTTATCTTGCTTAATATTTGCCTTGGGAATCTCCAGGGTCAGGGGTAACACTGATTGTCCTGTCCTCGAGCTGAGCAGTGTCTCATGTTTGATGCAGATCTCTCCCTTTTTTTTTCTCTTTTTTCCCCCCTCATCTGTCTTTGCCAGAAGCTCCTTTGGGATTCTCCTTTTACAGTTACATTACATCCCCAAGTGGGGAAGGGAACCAATCATCAGATGCCTTTAATATTGAAAACTACTGTAATGTAAAATCTACTGTGTGTAATTGATTTTGAGTAAGGTTTGTGAGAGCTTACTGAAACTGTGTCGTGGATACCAAAAATGTCTCATTTTTGTTTTCTTCTAGGAACTTTATATTGCTGTGGGAATATCTGGAGCAATCCAACACTTGGCTGGGATGAAAGACAGCAAGGTACATAAAGATGGATGTGCAAGGGAAGATTTTTGAGGAAGGAAATGAGTTGACTTCCTTGCTTTTATGCTGGTATTTTAGCCAGTTTTCCAAGTTTTTTAAGAGACTTCCTTGCTTTAACGTATTTTAGCCAGTTTTCCAAGTTTTTTAAGGTTAAAATGGCCAGTTTGTCTCCTTTAAAACATGCTGGCCCTCCGAGCCTTGCCAAAAAAAGGTATTGTGGCAAAACATCTAACATCTAGTAGAAAACCTGGTAAAAGAAGTGGTAAGTAGAAGCAGCTAGTTGAGTGTGTTTATTAAGAAACCCAAACAAACCACGTGCCTGACTTCTATACAATAGTTCCATTTGCGTTTATTTCAATATGACATATTAATTCATGCATAACAATGTGCAATTTGAATTATGAACTTACTATTCCATAAAGTAAGAGATGTCTCTGACATTCCTGCATTTAGCCATTCAAATGGAAACCTATTATAAAACGGCAGTAAAACTTTAAAAGGTTTAACTCATTAGTTGCCAAAGCAAATAATCCAACCTTGGAATTGCCGGTTTGGTGCAGCGTTCGGAGAGAGGAGTGGAATTACCTGCTGAATCGTAATATCAAATGCCAAACATCAACAACTGTCCTGCCTTCCTGCAAGTAAATGCAGAAAAAGGATTTTTTTATTTTATTTTTTTATTTATTTCCAGGGAATGAACTTAACGTTTTCTGGCAGAAACCAAACCCAGAACTTTGAGTAGCTTATAAAACCCAGGAAAAGGTTTGCGAAACTTTACAGGCAGATCCTTGTGTTTAACTGGTGACAGACTAGTGAGTGTCTGTGACTGGTCATTGTCCTCACAGCCTGCCGGTGTGGTAGGATGATCTCTGCTTTCTTACAATTAGTTCTTTTTTATATATTTTTTAAATGTTTTTGGGGGAAAATAATGTAATCTGGATTTGGGATACAGCACCCTTTTTGGGGTTTCAGTCTTCTAGAATCAGGGTGTTAGCATTAGTCGACGCAGTGGAGAAAAACCAACCACGATTAGAAATGGAGGATGACTGGTGGGCAGGGATGAAGGCTGCTGTTGGGCAGTGTGGATGGTGTGTCTGCGGCAGCGCGGTCTCACCGCTCACAGAGGAACAGCGTCGCCGTAGTCCCTCCTGCTCGCAGCGCAGCAAGAGGGAGGCAGCAGGGCAGGCAGGCAGCAGAGAGTCGGCGAGAGCGGCGCTGAAGCAGCACTGCCATCATCATCCTCTGCTCCCTCTGGACTCTGCTGGTTGCTGCTGGGCCACAGTATTTAGGTGTCATTGTGCCGAGGCATTTAGTCTCCAGCATGTGCTTTTGGGTGAGGGAGAGGATGGACGGGTGGGTGGGATTAGTATCAGCCCTTGACTGAGAACTGTGTATTTAAAGCTGCGTAAAACTCGAGCTGACCCTGTTGGTGTTTATTTCCTGCCTTATTTCAGTTCAGACCAGCAATACTGGGAGCCTGTTACTTAATGTGCCAGAATTTCCTTTGATATAAAAATATTGAACAGCAATATTGGCCTGTACTGTACCAGCAGAGCCTCTGCTTTTTTTGGCTTTTCTAATCTGTATGATATTTTGAGATGTTCTTTTATAGGAAATAAGAACAGATGAGATTTGCCAACCTGAGATGCATACGTAACTGTCATTTCTTCCACATGCTGTAGTTTTTCTAGTGTAAACAAATGTATGTACTGTAAAAAAGCAAGTAGGTGGTGTAGTTACTGAAAAGATCCAATTTTTACAAACGGAAAGAATTATGCAGCAGTGGGAGCTCTCTGGAGTGTCCCTCCGTCTCCTCTCAGCACTGTTCTCTGGCATTGTGAACTCGTACACGATACATTTTCCAAAGCAATCAGGTGCTTTCTACCACATGAAATGTATAATTTATTTGTCCTTTTATAGCAAGGTAGGAAATGCAGCTTTTAAGGAGACCTGGAGAATCCTCATTGCTTTCTTTTCTTATTTTTAGTTCCCTCATGAGGTAGTTACAGTAGCTTTTCTTTCTAAGAGATGTAACTTGTAAAGTTCTGTTCTTCTTACCCTGGGAAGGCTGATTTAGGGATGACGTAGAGAACCAGATCTTACTAAAAAGTGACTTCAGCTGATGGAGACCGAGGAAGGACGAGGCACCGAACTAAAGCTTAAGACAGGTTTGCGAGCAACTGGTGTTAATTATTTTGGTGATCAGGACAGAGCTGGCAGCCCCAGGCCATCACCAATGGCTGGCCTCAGCCTGCTCTCAGGGTTACCCCTGTGGCCTCATGCCCCTGTGAACGTCTCTGCAAAGGGCCTCAGAGGATAATTAGAGAAAGTCTTTATTGCACTAATATCCTCAGGTATCACAGCCTGGATTTTGCTTCCTGCACTGTAGACCGGTGGAGGTTTGCATTTGCAAAAGGGGTAACTGAAATAAAATCAGTAAAACTTTGGGAAAATATTTCAGGGGACGATTAGGGGAATACTTGCAGGTCTTTGCTGACGAGCTGGCCAGAGGGCAGCAGCAGCAGCTGCTTCTTACGTGTGTGCTGAGGTCCCACTTTATAGCGAGTCACAGGATACAAATGACCTGTGAGGAAAACACATTTTGGTGGGCCTAAAACCACAGGATTTGCAAGCTTTTATCTTTGAGTTAGTGCCACGGGCATGTGCTGCTGAGCCATTTATTTTGTTGGAGAAGTCCATTTGGTGGAGGGAGTAAAACAGCCATGTGAACTGCGTGTACCAGGAACAGGTGTTGGGTCGGAGCTCTCCTGAGCAGTGTGGGTGCCTCGAGTCAGAGAGTGGTGGTTCACACCCCTGCTTGTGGAGCTTTGTTTTTTGAACTGTTGTGATTTATTTTTTCCCCATCCTTTCTGGAGTGCTCCCTGTCCTGTTGTAGATTTTGATGGGGACACCCACGCTTAATGTGCTGGAAGCTCTCACAGACAGTTACGAAATGAGTCACCTGTGTGGCAGATTTTAAACCAAGAAAGATATTTTCTGGACTCTTGTGTTGGGATTTCAATTGTGCATTTTTCTACTGTGTGACAAACTGATATGGGCCACGGTAAGTGCAGAGGCCTTTAGGTGTGGCTTTACTAGATTTAAATGCCACCTTTGAGTTCTTTCTGTAATGGTATGGCTTAGATCTTGCAGATAATCCTTTGTACTAATGTTTTTTCCTAGACTCTTTTCAACATGTTAACCCTGATGTATGGAATGAGCAGGGGAGGGAGGTTTGGGGAGGGTGGGGGTGGTGTGTGTTTGTTTTTGAGGTGGAAAGGAAAAATGTTTAAGTGCTGTGATCCATGTCTTCGCTTCTTCACTTTTAGGGGTGTGGAGAGAATTTAGCCCATATTTCCTAGATGAGACCTGTCAGTGAGACCTGTAAGCCGGCCCTAGATGGTAATTATAGATGTTTGTGTATTCACACGGTGCTTTACTGTTGCTTGCAGACCATCGTTGCTATTAACAAGGATCCGGAAGCTCCAATTTTCCAAGTGGCGGACTATGGCCTGGTGGCAGACTTATTTCAGGTGAGGCTGAACTTGAGATGCGCGGGATAACGGTTTCTGAGCACTAACGAGAGCTTAGATAATGGAGTCTAATGAGTATTAAAGATGTCTGGGTAAGGGTTGGTTGTTAAAGAACTGGGTTTATGATTTCATTATTTTCAGTCTCAAAATTCAATGCCTACAAGTAGACACTGGTGTGTGCTGGGGGCGTCACAGCCAGGTGCCTCTGCTCTGGTTTCCTGAGTATGAACCATCTCGAGCAGTAACTGCACAAAGGTGCTTACATGTATTTTTAAGCTTCATAAAATATAAAAGTAGCGTTGGCAGGAGAAGTTCTTATTTCTGCCTGGCCTTGCTGCCTTACTGACGCCCATGAGGAACTCGGAGTTTTCTCTGGGCTGTCTGCGCTGCGAGCTAGCCCATGGCCAGGTGCCCGTGGCTCGCATGTACACGCCGCCTGCGCGCACGGCCACACGTGTGACGGGCGGGAGCTCCGTGGGAGGCGTGGGCAGAGACTCTGCCAGCACTTAATGCCATTCCTGAACTAGTGCCCGCTGGCTCGGCCCTCAGCACGGGCCTTTCCGCAAGGCAGAGACACAGGCACATTCTGAAGAAACACCGTGTAGACAATTTCCTTAATAAATTTTGTACGAATGCATTATTTCCACCTAATGGAAATGTAGCTCTCTTAAATAATTAAGAGGCTTTATTCAGCAGGAGAGAAGTGGGGAGTGCTGCGAGCTGGGGTGACCCACAGCCCCTGACATGGAGAGTTTGGGGGGGGTCACAGGGAGAGCACGCGCTACCCCAGCACTGGTGTTTGCAGGCGGTGCCCGAGATGACGGAGCTCCTGAAGAAGAAGTGAGTGATGGTGATGGACCCTCCCACTGCCGTTGGGGTATGGGGAATAAGGGCAAATAAAGGATTGTACTGGAAAGAGGTGGGGTCACCATGGTGATGGGCTTTTTTGTGTTGGGCAATGGGATGGCACATCGACTGGTGGTGGTGGGGTGGAAGACGGGATGGCGAGGAACACAAGGTAAGAGGCAGCATGTCTTTGTCAGTGTTTATTCCCACCCTTGCTCCCCTCCCAGCCGCGCTCAGCCCCTGGGTGGGGTCAGGCTGGGGGCCCAGCCTGGGCCCAGGCTGTCCAGCAGCTCTGTCCTGCCCCCGGGCACTGTGGGGCCGTGCTGGCCTGCACTGGTGGAAGGTCCGTGGTGCTCCTGGGCACTGCTGGGCTGGCCCCAGGCTGCTGGCAGGACAGGGCCACAGTCTGTCTGTCCCCCTGCCAGGCACTGTGGGTCCATGTTGGCCTAAGACTGCTGGATGGTCCGTTGTGCCCCAGAGGACACGGTAGGTCCCAGCTGGTTGAGAGCTGGTGGCAGAGTAGGTCCATCATGCACCATGGGCACTGGTGGGCAGAGACCATGCTGGCTTGGCCCCAGGCTGGTGGTGCCACAGGTTGCCTCCAGCACTGCCACCTTGCCTGTGGCAGCCTCGTGATCCAGTGGGGTGAGTGTGTCCCCACAGCTGTCCTGGTTCCCCCCAGGCTGTCCCTATGCCTCGGGAACCCTGCCCAGCCGTGGCTCCGGGGGTCCCAGTGCCCCATACTTCTCATCGATCACTGGGGCACCCTGTGGGCAGTCGATGAGGGGCTTCAGCTGGAAGACGTCGAGGCTCTCCTGGTTCCTGCGGTTGTAGACGCTGAGCCGGTGGCCCAGGTCGGGGCTGGCCCCAGCTGAGCCCGCGGGGCTGGGCAGCTTCAGGTTGACGGGATCCAGCCCCTTCTGCGCCAGGCAGGCCTCTTCCGACAGGGACGACAGCAGCTCCTGCACCATGGCCTGGGCCACCCGCTGCCGGCTGGGGGCCAGCTCAGCCCGCGGGCCAGCGGCAGCCTCCGTGGCATCCTCGCAGGCCGTGCTGCAGTCCGGGGAGGAGCCCAGCGTCTGGCTGCTCTCGCTGCAGGCCTGGGTGCCCGAGCTGACGGTGGAGCGCGAGGCGCTGCCCGAGGTGATGCTGGCGGAGGTCCCCGTGCTGCCCAGCCGCATCGGCACCTCCACCGTGAAGAGGTCAGAAGAGATGTTGGGGCGATGGACGTCGATGGCGGCGGTGGTGACCACGCAGATGGCGGCCTCGGGGACGCCGCT